GCTCCATGTGCCGCATCAGGCAGCACTGACCCTGTGGCAAGAGCTGCCCCCCCCYCCCAGTTTGTGCTGATCATTGTGGATATGCAGCTCCAAAACACGGACTTAAGACTTTTTTGATAACCTGTCCTAAACTGCTGTCCAGTAATCTGCCTCTTGTCCTTTGCCTTGATAATTCCCCATTACCTCCCTTCTCCTTTGCCCTAAGTGCCCCTTTTCCCCTTAAAAGGCAATATTATGTATTTAAAGCAAACCTCTTATTCTTTTTTTAAACACTTTTATGGAGCTATAATTTTTAAGTTCATCCATTTCAAGTGTACAATTCATTGCTTTTTTAGTAAATGTATCAAGTTGTGCAACCACCACCACAATCTAACTTGATCCTTTGTGCCCTTTTATAGTTAATTCCCAGTCCCAGCCCCTGGCAATCACTCTTCTACTTTCTGTCTCCAAATTTGCCTTTTCTGGATTTTGACATTTCATATAAATGAAATTGTATAATATGGGGTCATTTGCATTTGACCTCTTACTCAGCATGTTTTTTGAGGTTTATCTGTATTGTGGCATGTATCAGATTACCTATCCTTTTACCAATTTGATAGATATTTGAGTTGTTTTTCCTTTTCAGCTATTATAAGTGATAATACTACTATAACATTTGCATGCAAATCTTTATTCAAACATATTAAACCAGTTATTCTTGATAATTAATAAAATTATATGTTTCTAGTTCTTGATTCAAAAAAAGTAGCTGAGTTGAACTTTGCCTCTGAAAAAAACCTTCTTCCTAAGCTAAACTAGCTTTTAAAAGTTTCTGTGAGGTTATCAGTTGATTGTTTTTCACAGTCACCGACCTTTAAGAAATAAGAGGTTCCTATTTGTTAAAATATTCTCAATTCACCAGCACAGTGGTGCACGCCCATAATCCCAGTGGCTCAGGAGGCTGAAGCAGGAGGATTGCGAGTTCAGAGCCAGCCTCAGCAACAAGTAAGGCCCTAAGCAACTCATCGAGACACTGTCTCTAATAAAATGCAAATTGGAGGCCTGGCTCAGTGATTAAGTGCCCCTGGGTTCAATCCTGGTACCAATAAATAAATAAATAAATTATTATTATTATTATTTTTTCTCATTCTCAGCTCTGGCTTTCGTAGAGAAAAACACAAGTTATCATCCAAATTAAGGGTCGTTAATTCTGCACATCCCTGTGTTGGGACTGAGGAAACCAAATGATGAGACATGGACCCTTAAAGTCCTTACCATCAAGAGAAAAATAAATAGCCAGGGAAATATTCCCATCCTATGCGCTCAGCAGTCAGTAGATCTTTTCAGTTATTCTCTCCTCTCCTGTTTGTTGAGATGGGGTCTTGTTGTATTGCCCAGGCCAGTGTTGTAGACCAAATGATCCTCTTGCYTCAGCATCTTGAGTAGCTGGTACTGCAGGTATATATCATAATATCTGGCCCCTGCCTTCTTTGATAAAGGCAACTTTATCTTTTGTTTTCCACAGTATGGATATTGAACCCAGGACACTCTACCATTGAGTTACATCCCCAGTCCTTTTTATTTTTTATTTTGAGATAGGGTCTTGCTCAGTTGCCCAGGCTGGAACTTGCAATTTTCCTGTAAAGGCAAATTATTTTTAAGAAGTACTAATAAAGTCTCTACTCGTTTTTTACCCTCCTCAACTAAAGAAATTTCAGCTGTATCAAGGAAGTTAGTATCAGCAGAATTCTGTGCCTTTTCCATGTAGAGGTTTTATATATTCTCTTTTCCAAGGAAGCCCTTATCATCTCCATCCAGCTCTGCCTTTCATACTCTGTAGGACTCTCCTGGGCAATCTCAATTTGCATAAATGTCCAGGGCCCAGGAACACAGCTTCTTGAAGTGGCCTGTGTTATTAGTCAGCTGGTTTGTTTTATAGGTTTTCATTTTGATCCAAGCAAATCAGTCCCCTGTTGATTTTATCCATTAGTCTCAGGTCTACGTGCCTCTTACGTATGGTATTCTTTTACATATTATAAAGTACACCTTTTTCCTTTTCAAAGATAAGCTCTGCTAGTTGAAGGGGTTATACAACAGACTGACCCYGAGGTGGGGTCTGATCTATTTAGAATGTGGTTGGGAGGAAACTACAGTGTCACGGGGGCTGAACACTGCTTGTTTGCTGGCTGGTTTGTTTGCAGCTCCTTCATACCTTGTTGGCTCCTATCAAGCTCAAGAAAATCTCTTGGTTTCATAAGCCAAGGTCTTCTCCATTCTACTTGGAGTCATTTCGTTGTTTTGAAATGTATTTAAAGCAAAYCTCTTATTCTTTTTTTAAACACTTTTATGTATATAACTTTACATTTAGTCCCGTTAAATTGTAATTTCCTATTCTTTAATTTTATTTTTTTATCATGGGAAAATATACACAATAAAAAATTCTCCATTTTAACCACTTCCAGGTGTGTGGTTCAGGTGTGTCGGGTGCATTCCCATTGTTGTAAACCATCACCACCATCCAKCTCCAAAACTTTCTTCATCTCTCAAACTGGAACTTCATACCAATTAAACCATAATTTCCTGTTTCCCCTACCCTAGCTCCTGGCAGCCTTCTGTCTCTACTTTCTGTCTCCAAATTCGACTACTCTAGGTACTACATGTGAGTGGAATCATACAGTGTTTGTCCTTTTGTGAATGGCATATTTCACTGAGCATAATCTTCAAGGTTTGTCTATGTTGTAGCATGTATACAAATTTGCTTTATAAGGCTGAATAATATTCCACTGTGTATAAATATTTTAGCGGGGTACGGTGGTATACATCTGTAATCCCAGCTGCTCAGGAGACAGTCAGGAGGATCTCAAGTTCAAAACCAGCCTCAGCAAAAGGGAGGTGCTAAGCAACTCAGTGAGACCCTGTCTCTAAATAAAATTCAAAATAGCTCTGGGGATGTGGCTCACTGAGTGCCCCTGAGTTCAATCCCGAAACTCCCCCCCCCCCCGAAAACAAAACAAAGCTCCCTTTGTCTATTCTTTCATCCACCAAGGGCTACTTGGGTTGCTTCCAGTTTTTGACCTTTGTGAACAATGTCGCTGTGAACCTGAGTGTACACATATTAGTTTGAGTTTCACTGTTTTCAACTTATTTTTCACATTTTGCTTCTGTTTTGTGTTATTGGATAATTATCTTTCTGCAAATCAGATATAATTAATCTCTGACTTTGTCCAAATCCCTTCATGATAACAGTGATGGATTTCTTATTGATCTGAAGTTATCATTGCACAAAATGGCCATTCTCCCCATCCCCAGCCTTTTTAAAAGACTTGGAACCTGGTCTTCACAGCTGTGCTCTGAGAGCAGACTCAGGTGATATAAAAAGTATTCCGTGTCCAGCAGTGAAGATCATGTCCTAAGCTCTAGGCTGGGTCAAAATGAGAGGAGTGGAGGGCTTAATGTGTTTATTACCTGTCTACTTTAAGGTCACTAAGACTACACAGAAACTATTATCAGGCACCAAAAATAAGGGAACTGAGCCTTATAGTAATCTGATTTTTGTTCCTCTGCTCCACAAATATTTATTGACCTCCTACTTGTGAAAAGCATAAAGTGCTTTTGGAAAATAAAAGATAGATAAAACACACTCCATGTTTTCAAGGTGGCTTATAATAAAAACTCCTGATGAAATTTCTTGTTTCATCGCAGAATCCTTTAGGCAGGGCTTTGGCCATTTCTATAAAAATATCACCTTCAGATGAGGAGGAYTAAAAAATACACACACAATGCCTTGTGCTCCAAATGTCTATGTTAATATAGACAGATTTTGAACAAGGGTTTGTGGACAGAATAAAAAATCTCGACATGAACGCTTTAAAGATGGTTTAGTTTTTGCTTGACTTTGGCTAATAAAAAATCACCAGGAAAACAAAAAGTACTCTTGCTCTTGACAGTATAAAATTCTTATTATTTTTAGAGAATAGTAACTGTGCATTTATGAAATTCTTTGTCAGAGCAATTTAGTTAATAGCTATGTAAATGACTACTTATTTCATTGTGTAGGTGGATCGCTCCATGTACACTTTCTGAGAAAGAATATAAGTGCTAAAAATCATTAACCCTGCAGATGGAAAGAAGCAAAAGTTAAGGCTGGACTGCCATGCAGTTCAGGGTGAAGGAGAGAAAATCCATCTTGGGAGATTTGTTCAGTTTATCATGTCGGGTTTTTTTATTCTGATCCAGTATATGAACTACTTAGGATGCATGGGAACCAAAGTGAATTGCAGTGTAAGATTGTTTCTTACTATTGATTTTCAAACAAACGTCCATTATAAGCCTAGCTGGGATGGGGCAAAGGGGTACTGGAAGTTATTGCCACAACCATAAATTCTCATGCAAAAGAACGTCTCCTGTGAAACACCTAAGATGTATTTTTTTTAAGTTATTGTTTTTTCAGCATAAAAACAAATTCAGAGGAGTCTGGTAGTGGCAAAGTTCTGGCTCTAGATGCCTCCTGTGATCATGGAAGCCTCTGTAATTATGGGGGAGTTAAGCCAGCCCTTGTCTCAGGAAGAAGCCCTCAGTGGACCAGTGTCTGCAGCTCTTCCTCCTCCAAATTCATTTTACCCAGTGAATGAGCCTCATCTTCAGCTCAGCTCTAATTATTACATTCTCCCTCTTTGGAATGTCCTTGGATTCCCAGTTGTCACACAAATCACATTGATGTGATGATCCCAAGCTGTTCACCAGTTTGCCTCTGACTTCCCTACCTAACTACTTCTGGGTCCCACCAGCATCAGATCATTTGTCTGCCACGGCTCATCCCTTCCTTCCCTGCAGCTCTCGCTTGTTGATGAACTGAGTCCCTTATCAGCGCATGTGTGCCTTCACTTGGCGAGCCCTTTCTGTGCTGGCTACGGCCACTGAAGGCAGAGACCACTGACTGTCGCCTGGCACCAGCCCTGCACTTGGTGAATGCTTCGACCCTAACACTTGTGTTCATTTTCACTTGTTTCCTTTTCCTTCAGGTTCAGAGTGAAGACAGCGTCCTCCTGTTTGTTATTGCCTGGACAATCACGGAAATTATCCGTTACTCCTTTTATACATTCAGTCTATTAAACCATCTGCCTTACCTCATCAAATGGGCCAGGTAAAAAAAAGTACATGCAGAGAAGACAACCTTTGAAATTATCCATCACCACATTTGCCCTTTATTGTGTAAATATTGCCTCTGAGTTTCTAAAAATAAAATTGTATGAGACAGAGGTCGGGAATAAATCTAGGCTGTGGATTTCATCAGGATAAGGGTCATAGAAGCACTATCCCGAAGTCTTTACATTTGACCGTAAGTCATCTTTATTGGGATCAATTCTTTTCAGTTGAATTGCTCAGTGGAGAGTTGGTGTAACAGCCTTTTTTTCAGGGTGGGAGGGGGGAAGGTCATTGTTGTTCCATCAAATCATCAAATTTTATTGTTTGTTGATGAACTTCTGCCATTATTAAGTTCTTGGGCCATGTCCAATTAATTCTGCCAGTCTCAATTTTGCCAAGAAACTAGGACTCTTAAATTAATTTTCAGTTAATAGCAAACATTACATGGTAGTATTAGCTTATCAGTTTTATTTTGCTTCAATTTTTTTACCAGTTAATATTCATTATGATGTGGGCAAAAGGCTGATAGTTCATCTGTTTATCTTAACAAATCCACGAGACAGTTGTAAGCAGTTTTCTGAGTTAGAAAAAGACTGGGGGCTAGGGGGTATCACAAAGCTGAAGGATCCAAATTGTACTTGGAACCAAAATGCTTCTTTTCACAGAAGAAAAACAGTGGATGCCAGACAATATATGAGTTCAGTTATTAAATTAGAGGCATAATCCAGTTCTTTCCAACATGTCAAGTATGAGAAATCCTTTATTTGTATTATCTTTTGCAATAAACATTTTTATTAGGAAAGAGGAAGAATGGGAAACACAGCAGCTACTAACCAGCCTACACAGYCATTGGGAAAGCTGGCTACTGGGCTGCAGGAGAAGTTGTAGTCCAAGCCCTSTTGTTATTACTGAGAAAAAATTCTCTTCTTTCTTTTTTGTACCAGGGATTGAACCCAGGGGTATTTGATCACTGAGCTACATCCCCAGCCCATTTTATAATTTATTTTGAGACAGGGTCTCGCTAAGTTGCTTAGGACCTCTGAGTTGCTCAAGCTGGCTTTGAACTCACTATCCTCCTGTCTCAGCCTCCTGAGCCCCTGGGGATGGACCACCTGGGGAAAGATTCTCTTGCCCTTTTTTTGGAGGGGTGGGGGGGGTAATCGGGTATTCAACTCAGGGGCATTCAACCATTGAGCCACATCCCCAGCTCTATTTTGTATTTTATTTAGAGACAGGGTCTCACTGAGTGCTTAGTGCCTCACTTTTGCTGAGGCTGGCTTTGAACTTGCTATCCTCCTGCCTCAGCCTCCCAAGCTGCTGGTCTTTCCCATTTTTCTCCACAACCTATGGAATATTCTTCTTTTTTCTATATCCTCCTTAAAGAGCTAAGTTTTCAGTGGGGAATGTCTTCCCTTCATCTTCATAGATTTTTCAGCACAGTTCCTACACCTGGAAGTTTGGAATCTATTGTTCATTATGAGCCACAAACAACTCAAGGTGTTTTAAAGTCATATCTGTTGATTCCTTCAGCAGTCCTTATATCTCAGAATGGTTTCCAGGTTCATTCCAAGGAGTAGCAACTGCTTTCTGAATTCTTTTGAAACATAGAGAACTTTTCTTTTTGGTGCTCAGGATTGAATCCAGAGGCACTTTACCAATGAGCTACACCCTCAGCCCTTTTGATTTTTTATTTTGAGACAGATTCTTACTAAGTCACCCAGGCTGGCCTCGAACTTGCAGTTCTCCTACCCCAGCCCCTTGAGTAGCTGGAATTACAGGGTGTGCTACTGCATGACCTTTCTTGGGGGTATGTTTTAACTGAAAAACTGCTTAATGACCAGAAGCTGTTATTAATTTTTAAAGGATAAAATTAACATACACTTCATTTTCCACAATAGAATGTACAGGCATTTGGAAGGCAGTAAACATGTTGATGTGCTATCTCTTCAGTCCACAGACCAGACTTGGCATATGTTCCAGGAACTCCTAGACAGCAGCACCTTCCTCTCAACTCCTCTCAATCMCCCAACTCCACACCTCAGCCCCCAGGGCAGAACCCTTCACTATAAAGCATGACTTAGTTCCCCAGCTTTACCAGCATCTGTCATCACCTTAGTTGTTTTGAAACGTTATTTATTAGTTAGGTTGACTGGGCACATTCATTTTTTTTTTTAAACATTCAGAAACATATATCTACTGTTGACCCTTTTCAAAAACTGGCTTGTAAAACCTGAATTTAGACAGTAGCTAAACAGGAAATATAGAAACAATAGCTTTCTAAAAGACCAGTTCTGATTGGAGGGGTGGGGAGCACTCTTTTAGTAAAGCTGGCTTCTGACCTCATACAGATATTTTGTTTTGTTTTAGGTACACACTTTTCATCGTGCTGTACCCCATGGGAGTGTCGGGAGAACTGCTCACCATCTATGCAGCTCTGCCCTTTGTCAGGCAGGCTGGCCTGTACTCCATCAGTTTACCCAACAAATACAACTTCTCCTTTGACTACCATGCCTTCCTGATTCTGGTCATGATCTCCTACATTCCAAGTAAGTTAAAAGTTATGCATATACTTATTTATATTTTAAAATTTGGCTCTACAGTAACTAGAGTTCAATGTCTTTGATTGTCTTTGCAGCATAGCCAAGTAAATGTAAATCTAATTTATTGGGAACACTTTCGTTTTTATTGAATACTAACTGTCAAAGGTAATTTTCTCTATTAGTAATTGAATAAAGATGAACCCTTCTCAATACAGCTGCCAAAATGCAGCCCTTCTCAGTGTGTGGGTTTGAAACACTGAATACCAGGATAGATTAACTCTGTACTGGGGGTGGGGGGGGGGTACTGAGTAGAAAACAAAAAAGCCATTAAAGGCCTTACCTTGATTTTTATTTTCTTGCCTCTTGAGAACTGCTTATTATGGTATTCGAAAAACATTGTGAAAAGATTTTTGCATTATTTACCATATCAAAGTAAGCAGTCTTGCTTCATTTTAAGGTAGTTAACTAGAAACAAATAGCAAAATAAAAACGTTTCTTTTCTACATTTCTCATTTTCTTGTTGAGCATGCAAACCTTCTGAATAGGACACAGTGTTCCTTCAGGATGGTTTCCAGTTATTTTAATAGTATTGCTGAAGGTTTAAATATATGGAGTATCAAATATGCCTGTGAACATAGTGGCAGAGAGGAAAAGCTGTGCTTGAGGCTCTGAGGACAGTTCCAGTGGCTCAAGGTTCTGATATCCAGTCGTAAATTCTTCAATTGACTCCTGCACACCAAGGATATCTAATGCTAATATTTCTTCTCACTTGGCTTTTACTGCAGCTCTTGCAACTCTGAATTTTATCTTAGTCTATAGAAGATACTGTAGTCTCCCCTGCGCCCCAGGTTAAACTCAGACAGGGATGGATTTTTCTTCAGCCCACAGCATTATCTGGACAAGTCATCCTAACAGTCACAGGCAACATGTTTGTGTCCATCTGTGGAAAATTGCATTTCATGCATTGTGAGAAAAAAACCTACATCCAGATCTCATGTGAATGTTTATCTTGGAGAAATTCTTGGACGCAATCCTGCTTCATGATTCATTTTCCAGTCTTTATTCATTATCAMGTCCTCCTCTGTAGTGCTAGAACTGTGCACCTAAAGACCCTCTCTCTCCATATGTAAAAGGTAGTTGATTTTCACTCAAAAAGCAAACATGGAAGGGTCTAAAAAAGAAACAGAAACAAACATTGTTTTTCACCTTTCTCTCTTTGTTCCCTCAGAGTTTCCTTTTCCTGTCTCTAGAGCAGCAGTGCCCAACTGCAGTGTTAGCACACTCAGAGGAGCACTTCCACTCCCGTGGGCACCCCAGGGTTTATTTCAGTTCGTCATGGCTTTTGAATGAATAGAGATATGTACCAGGTTGGATAACTGGGAAAGGGAAGGGAGGGTCTTGTGGACTCAGTCCCATAACAACATGCTTCCACACTGRCGGAAATCCAGGGGTGTCAACCTCAGATTGCCTGAAAGATGTCCAGTTATTCTAAGGAGGCCTTCATGCCAGAAACAGCTCCCCAGACCTGCCTAAATCTGTCTGCACCTGCTAGTCTTTTTTATTCCCTGGTGACCAACCTCTGCCAAGCCTTTTCCTCCTCCTGTTGCCCCCCCCCCTTTTTAAATAATGTTATTGTATTTTTTTATATCTTTATTTTTATTTATTTATTTGTTTGTTTATTTATTTATTTATTTATCTATCTATCTATCTATTTTTAAGTAGTGCTGAGAATCAACCCAGTACATCACACATGCTAGGCAAGTGCTGTATCACTGAGCTACAACCACAGTCCCCTCGCTGCCCTCTTGATGTAGTGACAAGGCTGGTCAGGCACGGACAGCCCTCCATGATGCTACGATTCCTGAAGGACAACATAGCTAGTTCTGAAGAATTTTTCTTCTTGATCTTGAGAGATAGAGAAGAAAGAGAGCACAGACCTGAGGGCTACCTGTCTTTTAAAGACAAGGGCAGGACTGTCCTCCAGTAGCACTCTGCGACCTCAGCCCCTTGCTCTTTCCAGTCTCAGCCTCCTTTTGGTAAGAGAACTTGGCGAGGTTAAAATCTAATGTAACTTTTTAAAAGGCAGCTTAATTCTTATAGAGCAGAAAAAAAGGGATGGATTTCAAATTCAGATTTAAAGATTCCCTCCAAATCCCTCACTCCCCACCCAGGGGCAAGATGGCAGCCCAAATGTCTCTTGTGCAGCATATCCCTGCTCCTGTCTGCTGGCACTCACTGTTTTCAGTAGTTCAGGTTGTTAGTACTGAGACCAGTTTGTACAGTCCATCCCCACCAACTACACATTTCTAACTTTCCAATGCTTTTTATCTCTAAGAAGAAAGTACAGAATTGGGTGAGCTTCCTATTGACATGCAATCTACTTTAGCAAATTTGGTTTTCTTTCTACAGTTTATGGTTCTTTAATCTTTTCTGATTAGAAGTAGATGGTGTACATGTATTATATAAATAACACTTTTCCTTCATGGCCCTGATTCATTGTTGCACATGTACCTCAAATTATGGCTTAGGAGCCTGGGCCCCAGGGGTGTTCTTGCACTAGTGTTCCCTTGAGTCCCTGGCAAGGTGCTTCTCCCCTACTGTGCTTCAGTTGTAGTATGTGCAGTGACAATACAATAGAGTAAGTGCCACACTCAGCAGATGTCTAAGTCCTGTTTACATTTTGCCCTCACATTGGCAAAAATTGGTTACGGAAATGGGGACAAAATGGTTGAGAAACACTAAGCAAAGTGGAGACACCAAGAAGCTGGCACTCTGCAGGCTGCCAGTGACCACGAGCACACCTTGCCCACAGCACACACAGACAGGCATACATGTACCCAGCAGCTCTCCCCTTCTGTGTCTCACAAATTGGGAGAGCAAAAGGTCGATATTCTCAGTAGCTTGTTGCTGGGTAGAGATCTCCAGTGGTCCTCAGCATAGTCAAGTGTAGTTAAAAGTAGTGACTGTATGTCTGGAGTTGTTTCCAGACAATACTGTGGAGGTGGTCAAAGCCCTGTAAACTCAAGAAATCACCATTGGAGGGGTAGAGACAGCCCAAGCACCCCAGCCCCCTAGCCTGTTACACACACTCCTTTCCCCTCGGGCCCTGAGAAACCTCTGGGACTTGCAAAAGGAAGAAGGAGCCACAGCTGCCCGCTTTCTGCCATCTGACCCTATGGACAGCCATTGCCCTTACCGTGGGAATGAAGGTGTTTTATCTTCTTACTGTAAGTGCCACCAGGGGCTTTTGAATCACTATCCTCCCCCAGCACTGCAGCCAGCCACTGTGGGGTGGTGTAATCACAAACACAAGCAGGGAAAGATTCCTCAGCATGCCCAGCTCACAGCGATTTCCTCTCTTAAAGTAAATCTAGAAATGTAACTGGACCCACATTTTTAAATGATTACAATTAGCATACTTTATGGTTTAATTATATCTTTACTTGCAGTTTTTAGATTATAGAGCTTGTCAAGTTTTCTTGCTTTTGTACCAAAATAGGCCTCGCACTATTAAATTATGTTCAAATCCTGTGTCTTTTCTTAAATACTTCCTGCCTGGGGATAGGGAGTGGAGTGGATGGCAGCGCTGCCCAACACCCTGACTCCCCTGCAGCTGATCAGCCCTGACACACCCCCTGACGTCTTGGAGGACTTTGGGAGGATCATTTGAAATTTGGCCAATTTGGAATCCACTTAAGAAGGAAGAAACTATCCAGGGAGAGTTAGCAGTAGTAGAAATTGCCTCCCCCCAAAAATACAGTAAACTGTCTAAAAACCAGATACTGAAACCGCTGGGAAGGGGAAGGAATGAGAAGCACCAAAGCCATCTCAGCTGGAGTTGCTCACACAGTTATTGAACCCCAGTTTATAGTTACTGAAAAGGCCAGGTTGCTCCAACCGGCATTTCTCACCAGGGACACTAGACCTTTGGGGTGGGCAGTTCTTAGTTGGGGACTGTTATCTGTTGCATCCGTGACCTACACGCTAAATGCCAGCAACACCCCCACCATTTCCACATGGTCCCTAGGAACGCAGCACCAGTCTGTTCATTTGAGAACAAGTACTTTTTTTCATGTTATTCTATGAGATGACCAAGAACAGAAGGTCCAGTAACTAAGATCCTGACTTCTCCCCCACACACACTCTTCACCCAGTACTGGGGATTGAACCCAGGAATGCTCTACCACTGAGCTACATCCCCAGCCCCTCTTTAAAATTTCTAATTGTGAGACAAGGCCTTGAATTGTGATCTTCCTGCTTCAGCCTCCTCAGAAACTAGGGTTACAGGCGTGTGCCACTGTGCCCAGCTCCGGCTTCCTTTTGATAAGGGCTTTTTCTACATTCAAACTTGGCTTACTTGTGTTCAAATCAAATGTTGTAGCTTCCTTCTCCTCCTCAGTCTTTGCACTGAAAGAATAACCTTTTTCAGGAAGTGCTTCTGGGAGATCCCTTTCTCCAACCCCTGAGACGAACTGGGATAGGCTAAGGGTCAGGAGGCTAGAACCTGGTCCTGACCCTGTTAATGAATTGCTGTGAGACCTTGGGCAATTTGCTTACCTTCTCTGTTGCTTGGATTCTTCCTCTTTGAAATAGGAATAACTCAATCAGTAGTATTTTTCACCTAGCTGTTGTAAAATTAATCAGAATAAATGTGAAGAGAATAGAAAAGATTGTAAAGAATGTTATTTGGCAAGCCTGGTGGTGATGTAGCTCAGTGGCAGAGCACTTGCCTAGCAAGCTGGAAGCCCTCAGTTCCAGCCCCAGCAACACAATTTAAAAAAAAAAAAAAAAGTTACTTGGCAGCTCTGTGGCATCTTAGTTGGTAATATAGCAACTATAGTGTCTGTCATTCTTCTCTGTCCCATTCTTCTTAGCTAAAGCAGGAGAAGATAATTMAGTTTTTCTCCCCTTCCACAAGTCTGTGCACCTGAAGTAGGGCATGCAGTTTTAAATGATCTCCTTAACCAGTTCTTTTTTTCTTTCAGTTTTTCCCCAGTTATACTTCCACATGATACACCAGAGAAGAAAGATCCTTTCTCATACTGAAGAACACAAGAAATTTGAATAGATCCGGCTTTCTGCACCCCCCCCCAACCAAACTTTTCAATGATCAAAAAATGCTGCAGACTTTTTGAGTTCCCAGTACGTTTCATAGAATATAAGTAAGAACTATTTTTAAAATACTAAAACAAAACAAAAACCAAAATCCAGTGTCACATGGGCCTGGGATTTTATAAAAAGATAAAGAAAAGAAAAAAAAAGGCTGTTACATACAATGTCCTGGCCGGTCCATTTCCGCATGCTTTTCCAACCAGAAGATCCCAATATTCATGATGGCGCTAGAAAGGGATTTGGCATTATATCTCCTATGTCCTTCCTGTATCTGGTAAATAAAGGTCTGTAACACTAACTACTTGAGAGTTACAGTCTGAGCATTGAAGTTGCACCAGCTGACTGCCCAGCTGGCAGCGGAGTTGAGCTGCAGCCTGCAGTGCGTTCGCATTCCCTTCTCAAAGTGCTTGACTGCATGCTGGAAAACTATTTGTATTTTTGAAGCGGCAAACTTTGTTCTCTGGAATGCTCTGAAGTTATGGCTGGGACCTAGCTCCTCATATCTAGTGAATGAATCCTAAAACGTATATGCCTGTGAAGCTTTGGGGTAGTGCCCTTAAACAGAAAACCACTAGAGCCTTTCTGTTTGTTTTCAGTTGAGTCATTACTGCCTGCCACTAAGAAATGTGCTTGAATTTAATAAGTATGTGTATATTGTAAAGAACCTAACTTACCTGGAGCTCGGCCTCAATCTTATTTTAATAAATGACAGTTCTCTGAGAGGTAAAACTCAATAGCTAGTAAGTGACAAGTACCTTGCCCAGTACTGTTTGCAGAGCACCTCTGAGTAATGTATCTGCCAATAGCTATTCTCATTTATGGACTCGAAACCCATCTGTCACATAGGAGCAGGGAGTCTATTATTAAAAGCATATAGAAGGTGTTGCTTTGGAAATATGGTTTGGGAAAGCATTCAGGAATGGCTTTATATACTGTTATTTAATGTTTAATTCACTCTTCTGTCTAGATAATTTGCCTAACTATGGTCCTGTGTTAATTCCCACCAACTTGTCGATTCAGAGGCAGCTTATGTTCTGAATGGGCAGTCTTGAGCTAAAAGCAGATCATCTCTGCATGTTGGAGCAGCCACAGAATAGTTTGGTCCTGTGGACAGTGCTATGTCTTCATGCTATTTAATTGTTCAATTGTGCATTAAAACCCAAGAAAGGGTTGGATGAAAATGTAAACCCAAGATGAGATTGATAACACAGCTTAGATTATAAACATAGTATCTTTATGGAGCTTTTTTCCTTCTTCATTATTTTTTCTTYTTTTAGTTGTTGATCTTTAAAAGTCTAGCTTAGATGAGTAAATGTCACTTAAAATATAATTGATAATATCAGAAAAATGTTAATTTAAAACGAAATTTTTAAATCCTTATTTTTTTTGCCATAAAAGCTTGAAGAGCTCATGCAGGCAGGTGTGTACTAAATTATTTTTTAATCAAACATTAAGATTCTACTTGGCCAAGTCAACTCTTGAGTTAGATCTATTCTTGTACATGTGGGAAATTTGTTTTTATGCTTTTTTTCTCTTCATACTTTTCCAAAATGTATTTCTACTGTAAAATAGCGTCAGCTTGGGTATCATATCAGCCTCATAACTGGATTTGGTTAAGATTTTTTCCGTTGTTTTGGGGGTTGTTGCAGAAGGTGGGGTGGAAAGGGCAGGTTTTCCAGCATTGCAGGACGGGGAGTTTCATTCAAGTCTATTATCATTTGTCACATTTATGGAAAATATTGTACTGCCTACAGTGGGATTACATCAGATTGAACTTTGGCAATGAGGACATAGCAAACAACTCCCTTTTCCAAAAGGGTCTCAACCCCCCACGTGCGTTTTGTACATCAGTGTTTCAAATACTTATGGCAGATAAGTAAGGCATGTCACTGTGTCCTTCCGTAACCTCTCTCAGTCACTTTCTTTTTCTCCCTAACACAAGTTAATTTTTCCTTTGAAGTGGTGGTGTTCTTTTATAAATTTGAGCACATCCAACCCCACCAGATGTCACATCTTCTTATGAAGTGTGAACAAGGAAGGTGATGTTCAGTGGGTATTTTGTCAGACTTAGAAGTTTAATTTCAGTGCATCGTCAAAGACAGATTGCTGTTGCAGACCCCCGCTGGGGCCCCTTTGAGGTGTGCTTTGAGGTTTATGCAGCTTCACAGACACAAGGTGCTGATCTGCATCTTGCTGCATCCTGCTTGCTGGGGTTGGGATCTCATCACACTGTCCTCCCACATGGGGAAGTGCCTCTAAAGCAGGCTTTGGGTGGGAAGGAAGGTGTGGAGCCCAGGAGGCATGTGGGGAATCAGGCCCTCCTGACCCTGTTGTATTGGTTATGTGGTTCTAATAAAAGGCTGGTGTCAATGTGGTCCAACCTGAGCATTGTTTTCAGTTCTGAATTTCAGATCAACCATTCTAAAACATCAAATTCAATATACAGTGCTCCTTTGAAATTTGGGTAAAAAATTATACAACCAGATATATAATCATTTTTGTATTTTTTCTATGTTGTGAAAACCAAAATTGTAATTTTATAAGTCTTTGATTCACTAAAATTATATAATTTAAATGTATTTTTTGTATATTTAGAAATAAGGAGTTCAAAGACTATGCTTAAACTTTCTATGCATGCATTTGAAAGCTGTTTTTACCTGAAAATGTTAATGTAGTAATAAGTTGTATTCATAAAATACTGATCTGTGTTGCATTTCAAAATAAATTGGTGTGTGCTCTGCCTGGATTTGCTGAATGCAGTGTTTCAAGAATGTGGAAGTTTTAGTTCAGTTATAGACATCAGCTCTTTCTTTGACAATTTGAAAATCTTTTTTTTTTGTTGTTGGTACTGGGACTTGAACTCAGGGGCATTCTCAACCACTGAGCCACATCCCCACCCCTATTTTGTATTTTAYTTAGAGACAGGGTCTCACTGAGTTGCTAAGCACATCACCATTTTTGAGGCTGGCTTTGAACTCACAATCCTCCTTGGGAGTCTGAGGCCTCCCAAGCCGCTGGGATTACAGGCATATATTTCTGCTGTTCTTAATGGTTCTGAGCTTACAGGAAAAATAGACRTAAGACATCTCCAGAAAGTCATCCTTCCCTGCCAGTCTGCAAGCTTGCTCCAGAGGGATAAAGTATTCCTCCTGTAAGCAACTAGGGATGCTAGGAAACTAATCAGCAAAAGATTGAGAGCCCTTGTCTTAGAATGAGGTTTTTTGTTTTGTTTGTTTTGGGTTTTTTTAGTTTTTGTTTTGTTTTGTTGCTGTTATTGTTCATACCAGGAATTGAACCTAGGGATGCTTAATGACTGAGCCACATCCCCAGTAGTTTTTTGTTTTGTTTTGTTTTGTTTTTTTTTTTTTGAGACAAGCTCTTGCAAAGTTACTTAGGGTCTTGCAAAAGTTGCTGAGGCTGACTTTGAATTGTAGTCTTCCTGCCTCAGACTCTCTGGCCACTGGGATTACTACAAGTGTGCAACATCATGCCTGGCTGGGGTTTTTGTTTGTTTGTTTGTTTGTTTGGGGGTTTTTTTAGCATAAATTTTTTTAATGTAAGTTGAGTGGTAAGATACTGTTGTCTGGTAGTGTTCATCATATACGAAAACTAGATGTGGTCAAGAGCATCCTCAAAATGCCTTCAAATCCAGAATGTTCCTAGGAGCTAATTGACTGCCAAGTGCACAGAAGTGATGGAAAGGACCTGGTAAGGTATTCACAGCTAGGTCACTTCTGACCCTCCAGTTCTAGAGCTCTTTTCTTCCCCTCACAATGTTCCCATGTGGTAGGCAGGTGACCCCCTTTACAGCAGCACTAGGCTCCCACCTACATCTTCCCAGGCTTTCTCAGAGTTAACTGTCACCATTGCCCAAGAGTGTGGGAGCAATGGTGCCATCCTCCATGCTGTCTGCTCACAGCCTGGACCTTCCCAGCACAGCAGTCAGGTAGCCCTCTCCCTGGGTGGAGTCAGTTCACTTTCACAGGTAGGTTTCTCATATATGAGAAGAAATAGGATTATTGCAACTGAAACTGAGTAACAACAGATGGTCACGTTCAGAATCGAGGCTACCCAACAAATACAACCTTTACAATCTTGTGGTAATGAGAAACCAGGGCTTTTGGATTTGTCATTGTCCTATTTTGTGGCAATTATGTGTACTATGTTAACATAAGCCTTAGCCTGGAGGAACTACCATTGGTATAATTAAGAGACCCACTGTTACACACAGCATTCCAAAAATACCACTGTGTTGTTCTGTTCCTCTTAACAAGAATGAAAACTAGTTTTGCAATTCCTCATATTATTATTTTTTAAATCCCAGCCTCACAAATAAGCTGGCTCATTGTCATACAGTTTAGTGGTGAAGAAACTGTTCTAAGCAACTATTACCAAAAATAGCCATACCTATTAACATTTCCCTATCTGCACTGAGAACCAAAGTCAGAAGAGAGAACTATGTAGTTTTTTGAGCAACACTTTCTCTTAAACATGTGAGGGACTCTTTAATCTTTTTTTTCTTTCTTTCATTTTGAGAGGTAGCCTTAGTGTATGGGAGCAAGTCTTGTCACCAAAAATAATCTCTTTTCCTGCCAGGTGCTAATCCTTGTGACTCAGGAGGCTGAGGCAGGAAGATCATAAATTCCAGATCAGCCTCAGCAACTTGAAATAAGAAACAGGGCTCGCTCGGTGGGTTCAGAAAGCACCCCTGAATTCAATCACCAGTACCAAAAAAGAAAAAAACATTTCCCAGAAAAAGCAATTACCCTAAATGTCTCTCATTTGATGAGCAAAAATAAAAATGTGAGAGGCCGTTTTTTCTTTAATRTATTTTTCTTTTAGTTGTAGATGGACATAATACCTTTTGTTTTATTTGTTTATTTTTATGTGGTGCCAAGGATCAAACCCAGTGCCTCACACAYGCTAGGCAAGCGCTCTACCACTGAGCCACAACCCTGGCCCCAAGGCTGTTGTATTTAACCACCCAGAGCCTATTTCACAAGTCATCTTATGCTTTTTGTACATTTGTATGTCATATTTGTATCCCCTAACTCCAGAGTATGCACTTACTCCCAAGACATTGTTTTCGCATCCATCTTTGGCCTTGGGTGGATGCAATCCACATGCTTTTCCAGCTCTGCCAGGAACGCCATTTCCGCCTCTGCGTTGTTGTAGCCAAGCCTTCCCACTAGGGGGCAGCACCTCCCAAGGGATCTGGGCTCTGAGAGCTGAAGGAGTTTGGAAAACAGCAACAGCCTAAGGACGCAGAGGGGCAGAAAGGCACACTAATGATAATTAGTCAGGAAACTTCATTGTCCATATAAAGCAAAGGTAGGTTTTAAAGCACATTCTGGAGGAGAACAGGAAATAGCACTTTTCTAAAGCAAAGCAGCTTCTGTGCATGCTTTAGGCCAGTTTTCTGGTCACAGCACCCTCCACTGCAGACCCTACAGCCTACTAGGTTTTGAAAAGCTGAGAGTTTTTGGAGCAGGCTCACAAAGCAGGTGTTAGTTCTCTTCTTTAGTGGAGAGCTGGCTTGTTTAAAATGTCCAGGGAGGTCAGTTCCCACTCTTATTCTGTCTCTGGATATTTTTGGAGGGCCGCCTTGGGCCATGAGAAAATGTCAGGCCACCTTATAAGGCGGTGTCTGGCCCCGAGAATGCCTGTCTGCAGTGTGTTCAGGACACTCTGGACTTGAGTTAACTTGACTCTTGGACTGTAGGTTTTCTCACAGATTTAAATGCTTCTCTCCATGCCATGGATTATTCTCTTTAACAGACGGAAAGTCTTCATCTAGAGATAGCTGTTTAAATGACAGCAGTGTTGAACCTACCACATATATAACCAAGGGGCTGTGGAAACAGATAATGTCCATCAACCACAGCTTGCCCTGAGTGATGATGGGCATATGGGCATGTTAGGGAGAGGGGTCTGTGATTTAAGCACTAAAACAAAGTTCTTCTGCTAATATCTTGAATATCTAAGAGGGGGTGCTGTGCAGTATTTTCCAAACCTATTTTTCAATTTTATCCTTGAAACATCTTCAGGGCTAAGGCTCCCTGAACACACCTTGAAAAATACTCATCTATCGCCAGCAGCTTTCCCCATCAGGGAATATTGACTGTCCAAGGGGAAAATTAAGAGATGCAGGCCCTGCCTGGGATCCAGGAAGATTACCCCTTGTTTCTAAGGGTTTGTTGTGTATATACCACCGTCATCAAAAAGTAAATGAATTRCTAGGTTAAGAACCTAGGTGTCAGCCAAATGTGATGGCTGCATCTGCAATCCCAGCCACTTGGCAGAAGGATCACAAGTTTGAGGCCAGTCTAGGCAACTTAGCAAGACCCAGTGTCAGAATAAAATAAAAAAGTCTGACAAATAGTTAGAACAATTGAGAGGAAAAAATACAAAGGTCTGACAGTATAGCCCAGTGGTGGAGTTGGGTTCAGTCCCCAGCCCAACAAAACAAGCAAAATAGGTGTCAACATCCCTTGGAGGGAGTCTGCCATTTGCTGCTTTCCAATGAATGTGAACAGTGACACCAGTGAATGTGAACTTGTCCATCTGAGCAAACCAGCCTGGGACCAGCAGCCCCCATGGTGCCATTAGAATCAAACCAGGATCTGTCCCCTGCGCCTTATCCTTGGGGCTGCCTGCACACTGTCCATGATGCCCTTTAAACTCCATCCTCCTTAGGTCTGACTTAGTCTCAGCCCAGGATACTGTTGCCTGTTTCACAGAAAGTAGCCATTGCCTTCAGTGTTTTGGTACCAAATCTATCAATTTGCCCATCCTGGACTCGACCTTTGCCTCCTGTTAGAATGGAAAAGGTGATCCTTTATCCAAGGCTAATCGCTGTGCTCTAGATGTTTCTATCCACCCCCTTCTCAGGAGCTCTCTCTGTCACTACCGCTCTTCGTCTGTGCTTCCTCTTCGCCAGCTCTTCTCATCTTGGCCTTGACCCCTTGTCCTCCACCACTCCCACCTCTCTCCTGTTGTCTGGAAGGGTTGGCTACAAGGACTTCTATCACCTGCCACTCTCTTCCTCTCACTCCAACCTTCTGACATGACTGTGTTCCAGGTCACTAGTGGTCTCCTTGTTATGGAATCTAATGTATACTTTTTAGTCCTTGTCTTATGGTTGAAAAGGGGGGCAGTCCTGCTGGATATAGAAGTAGTGGTGTGGTTTTAGAGTGGACTGGGGTGGGGGCAATACACAGTCCTGGCCTAGGATTCTCATTTATCCTCTGCATCCCCAGTGAAGGCACACAAAGAATCAGTGGAAAGCAAGCAAAAACTGTTACGGTTGACTGTGGCTTGAGCCCCAGGGTAGAGTTCTGGTTGACTGAGAATAAACTCAGAACCAACTCTTTCATGAGCCAGTGAGGGGTAGTGGCTGAAGGAGGCTCTGAGTCCTGCTCAACTCACCCCACCCAGCACTCAGGTCTTAACTAACCCTGGGACGAAGAGAAGGGCTGATCCAACACGCCCCCAGCTCAGGGAAGGAGACATACAGATG